ATGACTGCCCGCCGGCTCGCCCAGTGTCCGCACAGGAGCTCACCGAGAAGCCACGGCCACACTGCAGCCCAGCCCGGTCACACCCGCTCACACTCAGGCCGCACGGCAGATGCGCAGCAGGACCGCGAGAGGACGCCGGCGAGGACGCGGACCTGCCTGGGCGCCGTGGATCACAGAAGGGGCCCTCCTGACTCGTGCTGCCTTCGGACCCCCAGGACTGGGACAGGGGTGTCCGGGGTCAACGCCGGCGGGTGGAGCCTGGAGCCGGGGTCTCCCTCTGCGGGCCCTTTGTCATTTCCCGGACAAAGGGCCTGAGGGACAGGCGCCACCCTCGGGACCGAGGACTGTCTGGCTCCAAGAATGGAGAGCAGTTGGCAGCCTCAGGCCTTTGTCTGCACCTCATCTCTGCTCCACCCAGGCACCCCAAGGGACCTGCTGCCCCAAATAGAGTCCGGGCAGAGCAGAGTGCCTGGAGGAAGTGTGCTCTGGGCCCAGCCCTGCAGGCCCGACCGAAGAGCAGTCCCTCTCCTCCCTGGGCCGGCCAGGGCCCAGAGCTCTGGAACCAGGTCCTTATGGACGCCTTGGGAGGTAAGGGCAGAGCTGGGCAGAGACAGAGGAGAGGACCAGATGGGAGAAGAAGGGAGAGCGATGCTCAACCAACTATGTACTGAGCAGGGCACGTGGAATACAGAGGTAAGTCAAGATGGCAGGGTAAACACAAGGTGACATTTCCCATCCTCCTCCAGCCACATAAAATACGCAGCATAATATATTTTTAAGTATTTTAAACATATAGTATCCAGCTCAAAAGAAAAATATATATATTTAATTCAGGCTCTAAGAGAGGAGGAAACTATACCAGTGAGAGGCTGCTGCCCCACACCCCATGGGAAAACCAAAGCTCTTGGGGTTGAAATTTCAATGCTAATCTGAGTCTGGTCCAGGCGATGGTCCTGGCGTGGGTAGGAAGCTCAGCTGAGCTCCCAGTAGGAAGCCGGGTGTCAGAACCGATTAGAGGGACAGAATCTCTCCACCATCAGCCTGGGTCACTGCAGGAATTGAGGTGCTCTCTCCCAGCCATGGGCAGATTGAGGATTAGAGACACCAGGTCAGAGCATCAAGCCTGAAACATAGCACTCCTGTGAGCCCCAGATCTGAGCTCTCCGCTCGGTGTAGAGCTCCAAAGCTGAGACATCAACGTAGCCTGGAGTCCACCAGCCTGCGCGGGCACGCAACCCCGAGTTACCCACCACGCGGAGAACACCTACGCGGTGAGCCCAGCTTGTAGATTCAACGTGCGAAATAAAGAGTTCACACCTGAAGAGCTAGAAATAATACAGACAACGACTCCAGCTCAGTCACTGTTGTCTCAGGCTGCCAGTCTGGAGGAGGAGGCAACCCAACAAGCAGTAACAGGCAGGGTTGAGCGTGGCAGATGCAGCAGGTAAGTACCCAGAGGTGTAAGCACCTCCCATGGCCAGGGACACGGAGGCGCTAGTTCGAAGTGGGTCAGGATGGCAGGAAGCGACACCACATTTTGCAAGCAAGTGTGATCCAGCCTGGCATGTGGTTGTGTGTATTATCCTATGTGTATAGTTGTGAACGTGTATTGTTGTACATAAATGTCGACATAGGAAACATCCAAACCTGTGGGGAGTTTTTATAGTTTATTTGAGCCAAACTGCTGACAATCTCTAGGAAGCAACATCTCAAAAGACTGAGAAAATGCCCATGGCAGTTTTGCAGCTTATTTTATCCATTAGGATAACAGGGGAAGGCGTAAGGGGTTACGTGAAATCCATGGGTGCTAGATTGGGGAGGTGGGAGGAAGCAAAGGGGGAAATCGCTGGCATTGGATAAAAAGTAAAATGGAGAGACATATACCTCTTTTACAGTGGCGGGTACAAGACAGCTGATAATTAACATTAACAGCACACGGAGATGGTATTTGGGGAACAAAATAACAATGAGGGGTCCTGTGGCCTGTGCTCTGAGGGGTGGAAAAGGAGATTGCTCTGACATTTCAAAGGTCTGTTATCCTGCCTTAGCTGGTTTGGCTCAGTGGATAGAGCGTCAGCCTGTGGACTGAAGGGTCCCGGGTTCAAATCCAGTCAAGGGCACATGCCTGGATTGCGGGCTTGATCCCCAGTAGGGGGTGTGCAGGAGGCAGCTGATCAATGATTCTCTCTCATCATTGATGTTCCTATCTCTCTTTCCCTCTCCCGTCCTCTCTGAAATCAATAAAAATATATAAAAAACAAAGTTATGTGATCTTAGATGCGAAAAGACAGCAGACAGGCTCACCTAAGGTCAAGATGGACCTTTGTGAGGGAAGCTACTATGGGCCTAGGGTGTGACTCCCGTTAGGAACTGGTGTGTTCGGACCATGCTCTGTGGTTACTTCCACGCTCTGAGTTTGTAGGTCCCACCATGTAGGCCTGCCCTGAGCTTGTTGGGCTCAGTATGGGGCCCCTTGTTGTCCACAGTAACATACAAATGAAGACACACAACTGTGTGGGCAAGTGTGGGTGTGTGTCCAGTGGTGACTGTGAGTGTGAGAGGACATTTAGATGCTCAGGTCTCAGTGGGTGCACAGTGAGCATAAACATGAGTACGTTTATGCCACGTGAACTCGTGTAACCACACAACCAAGGGGTCCGGGCTGCCCGGCACTACTGGAGCCAGCTCAGCAGAGACAGGGTGGAATCACATGAGCGTTTGTTCCAATGCTGCCGGCAGGATGGGAGAGCAGCAGGCCATCCACAACATGTGCTCTGCCTCTCCCCATAAGCCAGCTGCTTACATTGGGCAGAAGGACAAAGACTACATGGGAAGTAGGCAAAGGGTAAGCCAAATGGGCAGTTCACAGCCAATGCAGGCTGAGATTGGCAAAGGCCTGAGTGCACGCAAAGGCTGGGGGTCCTCAAAGGGCTGGTGATTCTGGTTTCTGCGACAAGGCTGTTCATCTCTCCATAATAGGCAGCTCCCGGATGGAGAGGATGGGCTGCATGTCCAGGTGAGCTCCCAGGTCCCACATGCAACTCCCAGCCAGTTTAGAATGTGCCTCCTTTAATCAGAACAAAACAATCAGAGTTAAGAGCTCATGATGAATATTTCTTGCAATTATGGCTGGTCCCCAGTATTTTATTTCTGCCCTTATCACTTGGACAAGCTCATAAGTCCTTCTGATCCCATGTTTACTCATCTGTGAAACAGGCTTACCAAATGGGGCTGTAGTGACAATTCATGAGGAAAATGCATGAAAAGTGCACGGACACGTGGGGTTTCTTATTCTTGTTTACAGTGTCACTGTGTGTGTGTGTGTGCGCGTGTGCACGTGTGCATGTGTGCGTGTGTGCGTGTGTGTGTGTGTGTGCTGGGTAGGACACGCCCTCAAGTTCATCTTCCCAGGCTTCTCTAAGTCTTGCCTTCGCCTTGACCCCAGGAAACCTCCCATGGCCCTGACTCAGCCACACTGGGGCTGCCTCCTAAGTGTGCGGAGGGAGGTTGTCCAGGGGAAGGGCCCAGGGCCTTCCCCACCCACCCCACCCCAACCCTTCTCTCCTCCATCTGTCCTCGGGTTCTGCTGAATTGGGTATTTCTCTGGCTCCTCATACACAGAACACCGCTGCTAATTTTATGCCTGGGCTCTGAGACGGTGTAATTTGAGGCCAGACACTCAGTCAGCAGTGGGCTCCCATCCTGCTGCTGCTGCGGTTCCGTGTCTCCCCCACCCCCACCCCCACCCGGGAGGAGGAGACCGACTCTTCACACCTTCCCTTGAGCAGCAG